CTGCACCTGGACGCCGAGCGAGACCCCAGGGGCGGGGGATCGGTGAGAAAGCAGTTCAGTTGCACGGACCAGCTGGCTTATGGATTTTTTTGGGGGGGAGGGGGGGTGTTGTGTCGTTCTTCTTGCCTACGTTTTTTTTTTTTTTTTTAAAGCCTAAGCCAGCTAGAACAAGAGTCTGACAACAACCCACCTATCGACAGAACAGGGAAGACATGATGGGGGTGTGTTACTTACTACAGGCTGCACCATTCCTTTTCTGCGTTTCTTATTTTGCATCACTTCTTAACTCTATCATTGCACGGGCAAAAAAAAAAAATCCAACTTCCTTTGTAACAGGAGTGGTTCTTTTCTTAAAGACTAGTTGTGTCTCTTATTCTAAAGGCAAATTGTCAGGTATGGGGTAGGTGAGCATATCTCTGTATATACTTTGGCCTTTTCAAAAGCATTTGTGTTGCTTTTTTGTCACTGATGATATGCTAGTCTATTAAAATATGTATAAAAGTATGTTTTAGTTAGTTTTCTTAGTCTTACTTTTAGTATTTTCTATTAGGTTCTGCAGAGCAGGGCTAGTCAGTCTCAGCTGATCTAGAGTCAGTTTTGGGCTGCAGTTCCAGCTCCAGCAGGCTGTGGTATCTGAAGGAGGGGGGTCATATTCACAAACTCAGAGTTGATCATGGAAACACTTTTAACCTAGTGAATACAGCATTGACATTTTTAACGCAAACTGCCCATCAGCATCCCTTTTATTTCATAAAATTCTTACAGACTTTTTTCTAATATTTGTAAATTTATCTATCTGTAATAGACTGGGTTAAATGGAATTTATTATATCTCCTTAAAAGAACTTAATATCTCACAAGTGCTAATTTACTGGCAGAAACAACTGAAATCTGGCTAACCACTCAGACCACAAAGTTAACAAGTTGGGAACTTTTTATATGGGGGTGGGAAGGGGAATGTCTTGGGGGTTTCTGTTTGTTGTATTGTTTTGTTTTTTAAGGATGACATTGGATTTTTATTTTCTGCCATTTGATTTGTCTTAAAGTATGTTTTGGTATCTCAGACCTTTAAAATATCTCAGAAGATCTTTGCAAGTTTGGCTTTTAGGGTATCTTTGCTTAAAAATAAAGCAGTTACATAAATCCTTAGTGCTAGCAGTTGATAAAGAAAGTGTCTCTTGGATCTTAAGAACTTTTATTGAGCTATTAAAAAATTCTGCCTTACAATATTATATGCAGTGGAAAGTAACGGTAAAATTTCTCTGTAGCTTGGTGGCTGTAGGTTGAGGTTCATCCACTCATCAGCAAGGAAGGAGTAGACCCAGGATGCTTGTTCTCACTCTACAATTAGAACAGTTAATAGTGTTCTGAGGCAGATACTCTTGTATATTCAGTGTGGCATACAACTGTAGTTGGTTCAGTAATTTTTTTTCCCATTGCCAATATAGGAACATTTCTCTCTGTCAGTAATAATTAAGAACCAAAGTATTTTTTACTTTTTAAAGACCTAGTTCTCTGAACTGCTGACTTATGCTGTATGGATTTTATTCAGAGTGAAGATCTCACTACTCTAAAGTAGTACAGCACAGCTACTGGTCATCAACAGTTCTAGGACAAACCCTTCTCTCTTGCTATGCAAGCTTTCTGCGTGGTGGGAGTGAGGGATGTGGAAAGAGCTCTGATACATCTAGGAAACAAGTGGTTGCATGCCCATGGCCTTTTTGTAAGGAGAGGGTGGCTGTGTGTTTTTGCTGAAATGGTAAAGTTCTGATGCTTGCCTGGTACCTGAATTTGGATTTAGTTTTTTTATTCTAGTGTGGGTTTCCAGAAGTCCCCTGCTTATTAGGACTCGTTATGACCTTTGAATAGCTGCTGAACACTTGCACTGTTTTCTTCTGCGGCTGAGGTCTTCCTCCATCTATGCCAATTAAAATCTTCATCTGAGTTTTCATTTGGCATCAGAATAAAATCTTAATTAACAATTTGAGTTTAGGAATCCGTAGTGATCAAAGCAAAGTGGAAGAAGCTGTGCTATATATTTATGTACATTTTCCATTCTGATTGCCTTTTTTTTTTTTTTTTTCTTGACATCTGAACAGCACGCTGCGCTCTGGTCTTAAATTGTGTAAGTACCTACCAAAAATGTGCGTTAATATCAACATTTAAATTGATTTAATAGGAAAGTAGAAGTCCAGAGCAAGTATTATAGTCAGTTTTTCCCTTGTCTCCTTTGCCATGCTGCAGAATGTAGTAGATTTTATTTGCAATATAAAAGGTACCTGAGTTCTGGGTGCGCCTGGGTCATATGACAGTTCTAATTTCTTCAGTGAAATCCTGATATTAAAAAAGCTATGTCAAGTGCTACTTAGTATTTTTAAAAGGTAAAGAGAGGCAAAGGATGTCACTACCTCCTCCCCAGTTTCTGGTGACTTTGTATGAATCCTTTGCTTCTCTTGCGGTTTAGTTTTTCACTGAGTTATCTTGAAACCAGCTTGCTTTGAGGGAGCAACATTATAATATTCGACTTTGGCACGGTAAGAGCGAGTGGGGATTTTTTTGCATAGTAAAGCTATAACTGGTTGGAAAAAATGGCATCCATACTGAATGTTACCCTTTCTGCTTGATATGAATGATGGTTAAGTAATAAGTGGAATTTTTACACGGTTTAAAAACCTTCAGCTGTGTTTTCT